TTTTTTAAAGCCCTAGCACTTAGCCCCATGCACATTTTGTCTGTGTGTTTTACATCGTGATGACCTCGGCTTGTCACTCTTGTATGCTTATCATAGGAAGTTCTGACCGTGCAGCAAATGCTGACAAGTTCTGTGCTCTTTTAAAACATTTATATAAGTCTCAAGTCTTTGCCAAAAGTGGGCTATGAACACGACTCAGGAAAGAAATCCAACTGAGACAGTTAGCGGCCAAAGAGAAAATGTTATGTGATTGTGGTGGGCATGGGATCAAGATTGCTCAGAAGAAGCTGCTGTCCCCAGCACTCCTTGAGCCTTCCAGAACACACTTGGCAGTGCTATGAGAATGTGAGCAGATCCAGCCTGAGGTTGTGTGGGCAGAGGAGGACCACATCCTGGGCTGGGACTCCTTAAGTAGGCCCCAGATCCCCAGACAGGCTGCTGTTTGCCACTCGGTTGTTAGCATACATCTTGGTCATCGTGTCCCATGTCTCTCTGTCATTGTTCTTTGAACTCCTGACTCAGGGCTGTAGGGCTCTGGCCAGCTATCAGTCAGTAAGCATGTTTCCCTCTGCCACCTGTTTGTTTGTGTGTTTATTATCACTGTGTGTGCATGCACAGCATACATGTAGAATCAAGGACAGCTTGTTAGAGTCACTTTTCTCCTTCTACCGTATGGATCCTAGGGATCACACTTAGATGGTCTGGCTTGACAGCAAGCACTTTTATCCACAGAGCCATCTTCCTTGCCCTTCTGCTTCTAAAGAACAGGGCAGTATGGTCACCACAGCCAAGACTCTGTTGAGAATCGGGTTTAAAACTCTCCAAGGCCTTGATGTTATTGGTGAAAGCAGTAAAATGGTGCTGTGACCTCCACCTTGGATTCCTCCTTCAGGGCTTTAATTGTGACTTCTTGGCTCTCCTTGGGCAGGGCAACCCTGGACATCTTTGACTACATCTACATAGATGCTTTTGGGAAGGGCAAGCAGCTCACAGTGAAGGAGTGTGAGTACTTGATTGGCCAGCACGTGACGGCGGCATTATACGGCGTGGTGAACGTGAAGAAAGTGCTGCAGCGGATGGTGGGCAACCTGTTGAGCTTGGGCAAGAGGTGAGGGCCTGGCTTCCACTGCTCCTGCGCAGTGTGGGCCTTCTTTCTAGGGTTTGTGCAAAAACAAGAAGTTGTTTAATGAGCTGCTCTGTGGTAACTGCTTCTGGGACATCAGCCATGCATTTGTTGGTGCCGAGAAGCCACCTCTGATGTTTGCAGTGGACTTAACTCTGCTCAGACACTGAAGGCATTCTTTGGAAGTCAGTGTCTTAGAGTGGCAGAGGTGGTGTCCTCCTGTCTAGTTGCTGTGATCTCTGACCTTACACCCTCCTGTTAGAGAGCAGAGTCCGAGGTTAACTTTGCTCCATAGTTCAAGGAAACCTGTTCTGGGAAAGTGTATGACGCAACCAGTTTCCTGATGCCTAATAGGATTTACCGAGCAGAACCCGTTTTTAATAGGCTGTTTAGAACAGTTGTCAGTTGGTGCATGAGTGAGCAAACGCAGAGGGGTCTGTCACCTCCTGTCCTCATGTGAATGGAGCTTGTCCACTGCCCAGCACCAGCACCAGAGCAGACACTTGTTACCAGTGCTGACCCCGAATTGACAAGTATAACCAGGGTCACGTCTATTGGTGTCAGCTCTGCGAGTCTGGACAGTGTCACCCTGGGTAGCTCTGCGGCCCTCGCAGCCTCTGCTCTGCTCTGCGGTTCTGGATCTGTGTGTGCTGCTGAGGTGACTGCATAACGAGAGCAGGTTTGATGTGGTACAGGACTTATGTCCAGTGTGGGTTCTGTAAGAGCTTCGCAGTGCTGAGCAGTGGAGTCAGAAAGCCTTGGGAGTCTGTATCAGTTGCTTTTAGATTTCATTGGGAAGCCCACACTGAGGCAAAGATAATTTCTTCTCCCCCAGGGAAGGCATTGACCAGTCCTACCAGCTCCTCAGAGACTCTTTGGACCTGTACCTGGCAATGTACCCGGACCAGGTGCAGCTCCTGCTCCTCCAGGCCAGACTCTACTTCCACCTGGGCATCTGGCCAGAGAAGGTAATTATCTTACTTTGATGCTTAGCCCTTGCCTTAGAGAGGAAAGCTACAGCTGCACCAAGGTCATCCTCCTGTTCCAGGGAGTATGTTCAGATTTGTTCCGTCTCCAGTCCTGACCCACTAATGAAATGTTTTTCTGTCTTCTGAGAAGCATTAGCTCTGTCACCAGAAATGACCCCTGAGCACTGTCCTGTCCTGCCTCTTCCCCTCCCCCATGGTGCTTTCCTAGAGTCACCTGACTCTACAGGGAGAGGTGGGACAAGGTGCTGTAGCTGTTGGATGCGGGATGATCCGGAAGCCGGCTGAGGCTTTTTATTGTCTGGTTCTGGGTGCTCATGCTATAATCCCCATATCTGACAGTGAGTGCCATAAGGAAGCTGCCCGTGGAGCCCAGAGCTGGCTTTGGGTTCCCTGCGTGCAGTCTTGTGTGCGTCTGAGTGTGCCAGAGTCTAGCCCATTGCCATCCCATCCTTGGTCTGGAAAGAGGCCATCAAGCCATTTGTTTGTTTAGAATGCCTGCAGAGGGCATTTGTTCTGAGCCTCCGCTGGGATGTTTCCCAGAGTTTAGAGATGGGAAGGGTCTTTCTGCAGAAGGTAAATCTCTGGGGGCTGGAGAGATGGTGTGGCTGTTAAGAGTACTTACTGCTCTTGTAGAAGGCCTGAGGTTCAGTTCCTGCGTGCACATGACTGCCCTTAACTACCTGTAACTGCAGCTCCAGGGGATCCAGTGCTCTCCTCTGGCCTCACACCCCCACACAAACATATCCACATAATTAAAATCTTTTAACATTTATTTTTAAAATAAAAGTAAGTGCCCTCATGAAGTGACTATACTGGGTCATCAGTTCATGGCTGTAAAGATATATACTGGGTCACAGGCATGGGCACTCCAGATTCCTTAAGAAAAGATGTCTCCCATGGCCAAGCAGACAAGTGCTCTGGAGGAGTGCACCCTGGGGACTGTCGCCCACAAGCAGCTCAGGGTTTAGTCCTTTGAGTTTGTTCAGCCAGTTCTGTTTGTTGAGGGATTTCGGGAGCAGTCAGGAAGGAGAGAGCAAAGGTCCTTCACTGAGCTGTCCCAGTTGAGTAGCAGGTCCAGTCATGGGAATAGCCTGTCACTGGGTCTTTGTGACTGAAATGCTCAGTGCTATCTTCATAGTCTACAACTGACTTTCATAGTTCCCCTGGGGACCCTCCCACTGGGGAGCAGCATCACTCAAACCGGGTCCCTTTTTCTTCTGGCACATACTGCCTGGTGGAACATCTGGACCCAGTCCTTTTGTTCTGAGCTAGGACCCCACCTCAGGTCATGGCGACCAACTTAGGAAGTTAACACCCAAGACCATCAGAGAAGTCCTTAGGTGCTTGTATCATTAGACACTTCTGGAGGAGATGGAGCTCAAAGGGTGGGTCAGCCTGCAAGAGGCATGGGGGAGGGGTGTATCAGCCTGTGGGACGTGGACTGTTTGTTACAGGTGACCTGTCCCTGAGCAGGACACCTACAGGTTGCCTCACTTTTCTCTTTCTAGTTTGTGAAGTCGGGAAGAGCTGCAAAGCCCATCCTCTTGGTCCCTGAGGCTGTGGTGGGTGGGTAGAGCCAAGTGGTCATGTTTGTGAAAATCACTGCTTCTGCTGAAAGCCGCCCTCTGCCCTCGCAGCTGTCTTGTGTTTCCATGTTCGCAGTGCACTGAGTCCACCGCAGGGGTCACCCTGAGGGTTACCATGGCTAAGGAACAGCCCCTGCATTTAGTGCTGCCAGAGCCCCCAGTGCACTGTGACTCACGTGCTTTCTCTGCAGCGCAGGAAGCGCCCCTCCTCCCTTCCCTAGAATGAGCCCAGTGGGCTCGCCTGTGACCACCCTCCCATCTACTCCCTGCCTGTTTACCGCACACTTGTCCATTGCCCACCACCTAATTTTACTCCTGTATCTCACTCCCTGCCCTCCCCCAGGCTCTGTTCTGGCCAGCCGCTCTTCTGTTGCTGTTGCAAGGCCAGGAAGTGGCCATGCCCTTTCTCTTTCTTTGATGCTCCGCCTGCTACATGGCCACTGGTTCCCAGGCTCCTCTGGTCTTTTCCTGGGTCTCCTTGTGAGGCTTTACACATAGATGCTCCCTAGGAGTCCTCTACCCTGTGGACTGTCCCAGGGGCTTCCTTCAATGCCTCTTTTATACCTGGACAGGGGAGGGAAGACACGGCCACCGGTCTCCCTGCTTGCCTTCTTGTCGTGTGCATGGCAGTCAGGGTCTTGACAGGACAGACTGCTCTCTGAGTGGCTTCCTGCTGCCCTAGGGACACTTTTCTTACCCTGCAGTGTGACTCACAATTCTCCATGGTTCCGACCCACCTGCCTGATTGTCCATGTCCCACATCTGTGTGGTGTGTGTGCATGTGTGCCCGCGCCCATCCCCATGCCCCCCTTAGGAGGAGTAATGCGCTCCTGCTGTGTTCACCTTGCACATGCTGCATTCCCCTCTGCTGACCCCGCAACTCCATTGCTGCCCCAAGCTCTTTACACTGAACCAAGTTCTCCCAGGACAGGGTGTACACAGTGTGCTCCCCACTAGCCATTCTCTGTGCTCCCAGCTTGGTCTTGGCATGTAAAGGCTGCCCTGAGAAGTTCCTGTTCAGGAGTGATTGGGTGACTGTATGTAGTTCCCCTGGATGTCAATGAAAGAGACTCCCAGAGCTTACAGACTTTGCAACCTGAGGCTAGCGTTCTACTCCAGAAGTGGGTGTTTAAAGAATAGACTGTTTGGGCTGGGAGAAAGTGCCATGGTAGGCTGTTTAGAACTGGCCTAGGACTACCCAGGGCAAGCAGCATTCTGTGCCAGCAGACAGTCTACCAGCAAACAGCTAAGGGGAACCAAGAGCTCAGAGTGAGACTTTGTGGACAGGTGGGACTCATGCACACAGGGCAGTGGACTGGTGGGCTTGGAGCCGCCTATCAGTGGATATGTGGACTTGGGGCTGTCTTCTGTGGGAGCTGAGCCACAGCCTATGTTGCTGTGTGGCCAGAGGAGGAGGGGTAGAAGGGAGTGCCCCTGAGCAAAAGTGCTCCTGCCAGCTCTCTCCCTGAGCGTCTGAGTTTTTGTTTTGTTTTTTATTTGGGTGGATTGTGGCTTGTTAATGTTTTTGGAACAGGGTTATAGTATATAACCTGCTCTGTCTGACCTTGATCCTACTTCCCAGTGCTAGGATTATAGATGTAAGTCACTGTGTTCAGCCAAGGCCTGTAGCTTTGGCTGGGAACATGATGTCCACTGTCAGCATTGTCCTTTGTAAACACACCAGGTCCAAGTCACATGTACCCTCACTCTCAACCTCACACATCCATGCAAGGAGCCAAAACTCTCTGTCTTATAGTCTGAGTGTGGGCCACCTTTGTGACCTGAAGAGTCCATGTCTGGCTGTGTGCATAGTGGCAGAGGTGCAGGTGGCTCTGCCGGGACATACAAGGACAGCTGTTGTTTCTGGCAGAATCCACAGAAGCTCACTGTTAGATGGGTGCTCTCAACTGCAAAACAAATGCCCTGAGCACCTCACTTTAAGAGCACCCCTCCTGGAGGTGGGATATAAACGGGGGCTGGCTTCTGATAGATTTTTGTTGAAGCAAGCTTTGGGGTGTTTGGGGTACTGACACTCCGCCTGCTGTTTTTCATGTTGCATCACAGTAATTAAAATGATTTTATTGTCATTCCCTGGCACAATGGAAATTGAGACCATGGGCCGAGGATCATACCCAGGGCCATGTCTTTGTAACCATCTGACCTCAGACCAGCATTTAAACTCACTGAGCCAAATTTCTTTCTTGCAAATCAGTAGTGGCTGTGCAGTACCACACCTGATAGGCATCCAGTTCTTCACCAAGAATTACTAGGAGCCACTACATTGCTTTGGAAGGTGAGGGTGGACTTCAGAATAATTACAGAGGTTCCTGGTTGTCAGTGTGACAGGAAGCAGCTGGTTGACTGGTGTGGGCCTATAGTTGAGGTCACCTGTCCTGTTAAGCCGGTCCAACTCAGGACTCATAAAACAAAAATGACTGATGTATGCTGTGCTCAAGCATCACTGGGTGTGGGTCCAAGCATGTTGGTGCGCATCCCCACACTGTGCTTGAGCCTGACTTAGGGGAAGCACTGTGAGCAGCAGACAGACCACAGGGCCAGCTCTGCTCCCGCTGCCAGCCTCAGTTCTGCAAAGGTGACTGCTTAAATGCTGCCATCCGGAGGCTTGTAAGCTTGCCTCATCCCGTGAGTGACATCTAATTAGGAGCGACTTGCTATGCACCAAGACAGTTCCGCCAGGCATCTTTTTGCCTTGGTTAAGGGGTCTAGGGTTTTTTTCCTCTTAAAGCAAGAATGACAGGATAGAATGGTTTCTATACTTTGGGCCATTACTACTCCTGGTCCACAAGTGGCATGCTGTCGCTGGTCTTTGTCAGGCTACATGGGTAGGTGTCGATCCTACGCTTCGGAAAAGAAAAGGCCTGGCGAAAATATTATCTCCTAGTCTTTCTGTCTTGTCTTGAAGGTGCTTGACATCCTCCAGCACATCCAGACCCTCGACCCCGGGCAGCACGGGGCGGTGGGCTACCTAGTGCAGCACACACTAGAGCACATTGAGCGCAAGAAGGAGGAGGTAGGCGTGGAGGTGAAGCTGCGCTCTGAGGAGAAGCACAGAGATGTCTGCTACTCCATCGGGCTCGTTATGAAGCATAAGAGGTGAGTACCTGCTCCTGGTCTCTGTGACAGCCACACCGCAGAGGGAAGAGGATCCCAGAGGCACACCCTGGTACCTCTGATCATTTCACCGAGCACTTACCACAGGCGAGACAGCATGGCCCTGTCTGCACCCTGCTTCTAACTGAAGTGTAATGTCTTTCATTTACTCTGACTGCTCCTAGAGTTTGTATGAGGCGCTAGGAGTTGAGCCTAAGGATTGAACAAGCTAGAAACTCACTGAGCTGTGGTTTCAGTTCTTCCTCCTTTTGCTGTCCCTTCTCCGTTCCCTGCCATCTCTGATTTGGGTTAGCAGGGCTTTCCTGAGCTCTAGTCCTGCCTGTGTCTGTTGACCAAGCAGAATCTAACTCCAGGGTGCTGGAGCTGTGGAGCTGTGATCACTGCCCCACAGCATGCCCTGGGTGTGCTCATAAACCCAGCAGCAGGTGGCACTAGGTCATGTTTTTTCCATCTTCAGGACTCCCTCACTGGCAAAGGTGGTTCTGTCTGGCCACATGATCTTCTTTGCTGACATCTGGCTTCTCCCCACCCCTCCATTATCTTTGTGAAGATAACCAGCAAATGCCTTCCCTGTTAGGGGCTGTGATTTCCATTCATTTAGTGAATGCTTTCTTCTTAGCTCTCTTAGGGAAATTTCCAGACATGTAAGAGTGGAGAGAAGGGCACATGAGGCAGCTTAGCTCCTGGTATCCTGGCTTCAGCAGTGAACACACAACCACCTCCTCTTCCTCAGTTCTGGACTATGAAGCTGACGTTGCGCACATTGACCCCAGCCATTCACTTGGCCTCTCTAAAGGAGGGGGAGGGAAGGAGGACTCCCTTCTTACTCTTACCCTCATCTTACCCAAGATAGCCTCTTGCTCTGCTTCAGAGTTTCTCTCTAGCCAGGCATGGCAGTGCACGCCTTTAGAGACAGGCAGATCTCTGTGAGCTCGAGGCCAGCCAGGGCTACATAGTGAGAGCCTGTCTAGACACAAACAAAAAAGGTTATTTTCCTCCAGATAAAGTGCTTTGTTGGTGGTAAAAGGAGGATTTGTGAAGAGGGTCAGGGTGTTCTGAAAAGTGACTCTCCTTGGGGTAAAAGCAGGTGATAAACAAAGGACATGAAAGATCCCCAGCCAGGCTCTTCTGCCTCCTCCACCGCCCAGAGGTTCCCCAGAAGCTCACCCTCTTCTGATGTTCCACAGATACGGCTACAACTGTGTGATCTATGGCTGGGACCCCACCTGCATGATGGGGCACGAGTGGATTCGCAACATGAACGTGCACAGCCTGCCTCATGGCCACCATCAGCCCTTCTACAATGTTCTGGTGGAGGATGGCTCCTGCAGATATGCAGCCCAAGGTGAGGTGTTTGCTGTCCCTCCACCTGCGCCTGACTGGCCATGCTGTGGCAGAGCTCACCAGTGTGTTCAGCAGCTGTCCACAGCTAGTCACACACAGGCACACCAACATGAGGTCCTGGCTCTCTTCTCTAGCTCCTCACCAGCCAGACTCGGGACTTCCCTGCCTCCCAGGCCTGCATTCTAGCAGTGCTGGCCTCAGTCGCCCTCAAGTGGCCACAGGTGGAAACTTCAGTCCCCTGTACAATCCCTGTGTGTTTGGTGACCTTTGGTAGGCATTTGTGGCCATGGCCAATCTGACGGGCCAGCCCCTGAGCTGGGGATAGATGGAGCAGAAGAGTCAGATCAAAGACTGCAAGTGAGCCTTTGTCTGTGTCCCTTTTGACTTTCATACACCTGACCAGCAAGGAGCACACAGGATAAGAGGGAGTGTGTATACAGATGTGATAAACAGTGTGCTCTCATGGGTGCTGAGTCTGTTTGGGACCCAGGCTCAGCATTTCATACATGCAGAACCTGGAGTGTGCAGGCCACCTCCCCTTTACCCATGAGTACCTGGAACCAGGAGCTTAGTGATAAGCTATGGCCTGAACCATTAGGCTTGCTCTACACACAGTGCTAAAAGTACTGAGGGATGGAGTGTCAGGGTTTCAGAAGGCAGGAAGAGTCTCCACATGAGTGATCGTGACCCGTCTGAGGCCAGGAGAACCTGTGTAGTATGTCTGCGAGCACCTCACCTCCATGGGTTCCTGGGCAAGGTAAAGGGGCTGAACAGAGGCTCCCCTAGGGCAGTGTTCAGCTTTTGAAGCTGAGTCAGGTGAAATATGAAACTTTCCTTTTCTGAAAGTCACCGTGATTTAAAACTGGCCTGGGGTTTTGCTCCATGACAGGTGAGGAGGCTTTTGTCATCAGTCATGACTCCTGGCTGTGGCGGTACCCGGTGCAGCAGTTGTCTAGCCGGTACAGAATAGGGGTGACTTTAAACTGGGGACTGAGGTTTCTAGAAACAGTTCCTGTAATTTGTTTTCTTGATGTAGTTTGTAAACTGGGTACTCAGCTTTAGTTGTTCTGAAGCCTCGGAGCACCTCACTGCATTTGTGGAACACATGGGAGACAGTAGTTTGCAGTCAGTGTTGGGAAACCAAAAGAAAATAATGAAGTCTGTGGCCATTGACCCAGTGATGTTGAGTGGCTGTGATTGTGTTAGCTCTGGCTGGGTTCCAGGCCCTTCTGTTGGCCACAGGGCCATGGTGTCTCCTGAGGGAGGTGACTGGGTTGCAGAGGTGACAGAGAACTCCTTCACAGCCGCTCACGTGCACTCCTCACCTTCCTGGACCAGCTCCTGTCTCTAGTGAGCTGAGCTGCTGCTCCACCCTGCCTGCTCCTGCAGATGCAACCCACATGGCGCCCCGTTCACAGGCAGTGGGAGCCTCATCTATATCTGTTTCATCAGCGACTAGAGATGCAGGCCTTTTCGTCAGTGTTTGAAGGGACATTTCATGCTCCTGCCTCATGGTGCGCTAGGAACGCAGCAGCACACCAAACCCCGTGGCTGCTAGCTCGTGTTTCATCAGCTTTCTCATTGCCCATTGTCACCACAGGATGGCCCTTTTCAGCTTAACCAGCTCCAGCAGATAGCTCTGCTGGAGTGCACTCCCTTTGCAAAGCCTTTTGCCCAAGAACGACTTCTCACTGTCCATCTCCAGGCCCTGGTTGCCTTAGGGTCGTCTGAGCTTGTAGCTCAGCTCACTTGTCTCTTTACCTGTTCTGTCTGTGGACGGACAGTGACTGAGGCCTGACCTCCTGGGTGTCACTGCCCCACCAGAATGCTGTGCTTCCCCTGTCACTGCACTCAGAGGAACCGGGGCCCTGGTTCTACCCTCCGTGATGCTGAGCTCAGCCAGAGGTAACTCAGCTTCTGCCATCAGCAGGAAGTCCATGGGATTGTATTGTGTTCTGTGACACTGTGGTTGCCCTAACACCTGGTCCATGACTGACACAGGAGCGTTGTAGGTTGGAGAGTGTCTGCTGCTCTTGCTCCCTGTCCAGTGACTTGAAATGCTTTTCCCTGCTGCCCCCTCCTCCCTTTATACTCTAGCCTCCACCTTCCTCCCTCCTGCTCCCTGCCAGAGTCCTGATTCTTATTCCAGTGTGTAATAGTCACTGGAGACAGCTTGATGCTCACAGCCCATAGTTAGCCATAAGATGGACACCTTGAGCTAGATATTTAATTTTTTTTTTAGAAAAATTTATTGTTATTGTATGTTTGTGCCACGAGCAAGGAGATACATGTTCCAAGACACATGTTGGAGATCAGAGACTATGTTATGGAGTTGGTTCTCTCTCACCTTTATGTGGGTTCTGGGGACTGAACTTGGGTCTTCAGGTTTGCACAGCATATGCTTTTACCCACTCAGCTATCATCTCAAAAGTCTGAGAAGCTACATTTTTTTTTAAAAGACTAGTTTACTTTTAATTATGTGTTTACATGTCTGTGTGGGTGTGTGCATTGTGAGTGCCATGCCTGCAGAGGACAGAGACCTTGGATCCTCTGGAGCCACCACATGGGGTCCTCTGGAGCAGGTGCTTGTACCCACCAGGCTGTCTCAGTGGCCAACAAGCTACACTTCTGAACTCCTTAGGTTTCCTTCCTTCAGACATTTCTGGGTTTTTACTTGTATTATTTGTTTCACTTCTTTTGAGCTGATTTTGATTCTAGTTCCCCAGTAAAGGCCATTAGTGATGCCTCTCTAGTCGGCAGCCTCCAGGGCAGTGACTGGCCTGTCAGAATTCCTGAGTCTTGTGTGTGGCTCCCTGCTCCCACTAGGGGGAGCACGCTGTACAACCTGACTCCAGACCCTTAGTTCAGGGCTGCTGCTGCTGCAGTGCAGTGAGAGGTGGCTGTTGGTGGTCACAGAAGCCCTAGCTGGGTGCAGTTCTCCTTCCATAACTTAGCACACTCCTACACTGCTCCTACTCCCCAGCCCCACAGTCTGCTCCTGCTGCCATGCGAGGTACTGGGGCGAGGTATAAGGTGACGCTTGGTCATTTCAGGAGGCCATTTGGCCCTCTCTTGTTTAGGTACTATTTGGTAAAATGGCCATCAGCGGTGGTGTGCATGGAGAGAGAAGAGGACAGCTTGTGGGAGTCGGTTCTCTCCACCACATGGGTCCCAGGCACCATATTGAGGTCTTTGGGTTGGTTGGTGATAAGTGTCTTTACCCACTGAGCTGTGTCATTGGCCTGCCATTGTCTCCTAAGTGGTAAATCCCTCAGGCATACAATCTTCTGCCTGGTGGCTCCACCCCATGGCCCCTTGACTAGAGACACATCCACATTTAGTACCAGGAGGTTTGTGGTCCCTGTTGAGACAGTGGAGCAGTGTGTCTCAAGAGTGCTGAGTAGCAGACAAACCCAATGCAGATAAATGCTTGGTGTGCATCTAATGTAGACAGCAGCAAAAATGAATACCATACTTCAGGGTGTGTAGGACATACCAAGGGTAAAAGGACACACGCTGCTGTTGTCCCCCCAAGAGGGGCACTGGACCAGGCACCCATAGAAGACTCAAGGCAGTGTTTCTAAGTGTATGTCCACAGGTTTTCAATTAAATAAGCAACTGTATTTCTCTGAAAACCGAGAGTGTTTGTGATTCTTAGAATGCATTATATTAGGGGTGTATCATGGGACATGTTCGCTCCAGATGCACAGGCACCAGCTTCTTCGCTCTCTTCTCTCCTGCAAGAAGTCGTTTAGTCCCAGTGTCTGGGGTGCACAGATGTGGGCCCTGCACTTGGGAGGCAGGAAGGACATTAGTTTGAAGCCAGCCTGGGCAGCTTAGTCTCAAAGTAAACATAAAACCTAGCTGGGGGTACAGCTTGGGTGTAGCGTGCTCGCCTGGCATGCACAAGACCCTGAGTTCAGTCCCAGAACCACAGAACAGACTGGTTTAAGGTCTCTTCTTTTGCTCCACAGCAGGCCCGAGGGCCAGCAGGCCAGGGCACAAGTCCAGCTGGAGGTGGGCCCGGACAGCCTGGAGCTCGCGCTGTTAGCTCCCAGGTTCTGACCATGCTGATGCCTGGGCTTCCAGAACAGCCTCTTGTTAGAAGCCATATTCAGAAGCCTGCAGCAGCTACCTGGCTGTGTCGGCCCACAGAGGCCAAGACTCCCTGCTCGGGCCTCTGTTGGGCACCTAGAGGACGGCAGCTGTGGGCAGGGCTGCACAATGTAGGGGTTCCTGTGGAGCAGGACAGCTCACCTGAGTGATGGGCTGTGAACAAGATAATTGCCTCTGGTACTCAGCAGTGCCCCTGAACTCCCCCACTGCAAGCCAAAGCAGCCCCAACTCTGACGACCAGAAATGCCTTCCGCCTTGGCCACACAGCCTTCTGGGGGTTAGAGCGTCCCATGGAACCCCACTATACTAGACAAACTAGCCTCAAAGTGGGGGTCAGATGCCCACAAGAGTTGAACTGGCTTTACTTCCCCCATCCTGCTTGCACTGCAGCATGCTCCTTAGGAACATTGGTCTTCCTTTCCTGGAGAGCCAAGACTTTCTGTTCTTCCTGGTGTTTCCTATGGGACATGAGGCCTTGGCAACTGGCCTGGCCCGGTCTGGTCTGGGCCCCAGGAGAACATGGCTAGTGCTCCAAGAGCAGGTTCTGGTGCTGGGTAGCACAGGCACTACTTCAAAACGTGTGAGTGTGGAGAGACTGAAACTGCTGTACGGGCCCAGTGCGAGTTTGCGAGGTGGGGGGCCAGGCTTGCAGGTGTGTATGTGCCGAGTGCGACTTTGCGGGGTGGGGAGCCAGGCTTGCAGGTGTATATGGGCTGAGCGCGAGTGGGCGGCGTGAGGGGCCAGGCTTGCGGGTGTGTAGGCAGCCAAGTCCAGGCACATATGTGTTCCCTTCAGCTCTACACTTTCTGGGTCTACCTTGCCCAGAACCCTCAGGCAGGTCCCTCCCTGTGCAAGGGTCTCTCTGTGGGGTGGGACCAGGACAGG